ATAATTCATAATCCTAGATTAGTTGATTATTATTTTATTTTTTGTTGTATATGATCAAACTATAGTAAATATAATGACATGTTAAATCGTTACAAATTTTAAAAGATAAAAGATAATATAAGTAAATATTATTTATAGGTGTAAAATAAATTTTATATCGACATTTAATTAAAATTATCATGATTTTTAATAATTATTATAAAAGTTAAAAAAATAGATAAAAGAATTTGTAATCGAATAAATGTAATAAAAAAAACACTTTTATCTTTGATCCTAAGTCGTCACTAAAATAGCAGAAAGTGTATTCATAATGACTCTGAAAGACCATTTAAATTTTAAACTAAATGACTAAAAATGGTCTCAACCTCAATGATGAAGTTTTTGTCGTTCTATATCTCTGATTCACTGTCGTATGAGATAATTTTTATCGAAATTCTCTTAAAATTTGTGTTTTCGGGTATTATTTGCGACTTCAGTGCATTAATTTTCATAACGTAACAAAGTATAGATCAAAGTGTTGTCTTTTTTAGGATTATTTATATTGATAGTATTAACTGCATTAATTTTCGACATTGGTTCTAATTTCTGAAATTCTTACATAACTTAAGACTGGTTCCATTTTTTTTACCATACAAGGTCATATTACCCTCAAAATTTGTTAAAATCTATGAATTATTTGAAGATGGTATTCATATTTGGAACTTCATTTAAAATTAGTTACTTTTTGTTTAATAATGGAAATGAGTTAATTGTTCTAACAAGTTTATAAATTCCATCAACATTGATTATTATCTTATCGTGGTTCTTTCTTAAAGATCAGAGTTTATTGGTGGAAAAAATTCAAATAAAGTATCTTGAAGAGAAATTCAGAAATTAAAGAAATAGAATTTTCAAGGGACCCATAACTCACCTTAAAAGTCTCTTATGTAATATCCATTTTTTTTAATTATTATTTATTAATGGCATTTTCGCATTTTTATTAAAGTTTGAGGGGTAAATGGGTAACTTGGAACGGGTTGTTCCAAAATTGGAACGGGCCGTTCCAAGCAATAAAAAGACACTAAATTTTAAGTTGGGAACGGGCCCAGAACGGGCCGTTCCAACTGGGAGAACGGGTCGTTCTGATTTTAGAACGGGTCATTCTGGAGGGAGAACGGGCCGTTCCGGAAGGAGAACGTTCCGGAAGGAGAACGGGCCGTTCTGGATGAGTCTCGGAACGGGCCGTTCTGGTTTCGGAACGGGCCGTTCCAGTTCAAAAATTTGCGTAGATTTGAAGGGCCCAGAACGGGCGTTCCACTTTTGGAACGGGCCGATCCGGGTTAGAAGTCTATAAATAGGGGGCTGGGGGTTGGAAAAATGGAGAACTTGAGAGGAGGTCCTAGAGAGAGAAAGAGGAGAGTGAGAGAAAGAAAGAGAGAGGAGGAGAAAGAAAAGAGGAGAGAGAGGAAGAGAAATCCAGAGAAGGAGGTTCTGCCAGGGGAAAGAAAAGAGAAGGGAGAGGGGGAGGTTCTGCCCTAGTTTTGATTCCTGTTTATCCAAGTAAGGGTAGTACTTATAAGACTTAATCTAGTATGTATGAGCATGATAGGGGTAGTATAACTTTTAATATGCTATTTTGTTTATATGAAGATTGTCATTTGTTTAAATTGATGGTTGTTTTAGGTGTTTAATTATTTATGTTATTATATTGAATGATTTGACATGGTTATGGAAAAGTTTGTATGTAATTATGGAATATGCTATATGTGTGTGGTTTGGAAAACTAATAGAACTTAGAGGAGTAAGGTTATGGTATGGATTAGATCTCTTGGTGAGATCAGGATATAATCTTTGGAAAAATATGGAATTTGGGAATCCCATGGTGAGGATTCCAATATGGAACTTTTCCAAAGGTTATATGATAAACCACTTCAGATGTTAGGTGGATTCTGAAGTACTCCTTTAAGTATTCTATTTGCTACCGGTATGGGGGCAAGGCCGAGTCATACCGATGGATGAAGTGGCCATGATCACCAGGGTTACGTGACGACGTAATCCAACCGTATATTTTCCATGAGAGGTTAGGCGTGAGATGTAACATTGTAAAAAAAAAAAAAAAAAAAAAGGCTGATTTGGATGGTGTTGAGGCCAACATTTGGTTTGGATGTGTTGGTTACATCATGGATTATACAGTGGTGTGACTTTGTTT